TATCGCGCAACCACGTGACATACACGGTTATGAATAGAATTACCGCACGGTGTTGTAGAGGGAGGAATATCCGAACGAAACAACACCGTGCAGGCGGACGATGGTCTGGTAACCCATTCATTATAACAAAATGGCCGCCAGACAGCCATTTTGAATCTGATCTGACAAATAAACGGATGTGCATCAGGAACACGTAATGTCTAATGTATGTACCAAGTTTGAACAAAATCCATCTATAAATGCCAGAAATATTTGATATTTGATGATTTTTTAGCACAAAAATGGCCACCATTCGGCCATTTTTAATAGGATCGTCAAAACAATATATCTGTCTATCTATGACATGATGTATAATGAATATTTAAAATTTGAACATAATCAGTCAAAAGAGGTCAGAGATATGGCACGAGAACCACATTCATTAAAACAAAATGACCGCCAGTCGGCCATTTTTAATCTAATCTGAAAAACAAAATTATTTGCATCAAGGTCCCATGTCTAATGTATACACCAAGTTTGAACAAAATCCATTTGTAAACAGCCGAGAAATGCTTGATTTTTATGATTTTTAGCACAAAAATGGCCGCCATTCGGCCATCTTGAATCAGATCGTGAAACAAATTGACGTGCATATGTATAATATCATGTATGATGTACGTGTGAAGTTTGATTGTGATTGGTCCAGGCATTTATAAGATACAGGTCTGGACGCACACACGTACAGACGCACAGACATCAAAACATAAGTCCCCAAAGCTGGTCAATCCTTTCTCAGAAACAACGAATTTTCCATGTTTTCATTCTGTTTTCTGCACAAATTGCCCATTGAAAGTACAGTTGTGAAATAAACCAGTTCTGTGACTCAACATACTACTTGTAACTGTGGATATTTGATGTTCAGCGGTACTTTGTGCAACCGAAGTTTGAGACACAGCAGTGTATCATGTACGGCAACCAGCACCGCAACCTCAGTCTCAAAACATCTGACCTGGATACATCTATATAACCAAAGTTTTTGTCGTTGTTCTGGGGTAAGTTTGATGGTGTAAGATCAGATTCTCGCATTTTTGTGACACGTACATGATATGCCTTGTCTCAACTCCGGCCGAAAGAGAGACTTTGCACGCCGTTGTTCTAATGCAGTGGTTGGTGTACAATCGGCACAAATCTGCAGCTTTTGAAATTACCTTCATCATCTCCTGTAATTTATTTACCCATAGTGGAGAATTACAATACCATATATCATCGTCGAATTCTGCATTGTCCCGTGTTCATTAAAACAGATGGCAATTACCAGATGCAGTTTTGTCAGCTAGAATTCAAACACCGATACGGGACACTGGTTGTTATTGGTGGCAAACATTTTTGCCTGTGACTCGTAGTTTTTTGCTTTTATTTTTGTCCTTTGATCCCTCAATCTCATCTAGTTGGTCCCCAGTTAAACATAAAGATAATGTTTTCTTTAAAATGGATTGCGAACCTTCAACAATGTCACAACACCGAGAACACAGCGTTCTCTGGCGTTCATTTAAGCACCTCACAGTGTTGAGGGACGGTGATTTAGGTTTATGTGGCGAACAACACCCAACGACCGACGCTCACAACTTAAATCCCACTATTAACAAAAAGCAATATTATGGTTATATAATTTTGTTTTTAATTCCGTATTTTTTTCAAAAATTCAACCACTATATTTCCCTAAAAATCAAATACTACCGGTCTCATGAATTTCCGTATTAAACCTTTAGTCAATTCATGTTCCAGGGCCACTTGGTTTAGCCGTACATTATCAGCCAATATACCAATAATTGCATATGCAAATTTTGTGTTTGGACCAATCAAATCGATGGATTAACGCCATCAATATACTGGTACAATATAATATTATGTATGTGACAAAAATAACAAAATTTTCAAGAACAAGAGTTGGCAGAGCCATCTCGATGCTGGGAAAATAAGAGTATTTAAAGGTGTGTTTTGGAGCAATGGATTGGCGAACAGGCAGAAAAGCAATTTCAAAAACTTTGACTTTGTTTCAATGAAAACTTGAAGTATACATAAGAGTACGACGTACATGTTATTATTTATTTATTTTGGAAACACAATTTTTAACTGAAGGAATTAAACTAAATTAAATAATCATGTTAGAAATGACTACTGTTCAACTCCGTACGTTTAATTGTACTTAGCGTATGTTACTATGACAATCAACCAATTTGAGAAAAACAGTCGACAATGACTAAATGCATGGTCACAGCCAAATCGCTGTTTAATTGAAATAAAAAAAAATCAAAGAAAACAGGGAACTCTAAGACAGAAAGAGAAACACGAGCGATGTATTTGAACACGGTTACTTTACGTTTTTTTAGTAACCATGATCGAACAACAGGCATTACGGCAGCCAAGTTTGTTTAACCTTGATCAATGCAGTAATACCCACGATGTACTATTCCCATAAGCGTGGGTATGTAGAAGTTCATAGCCAAGTGTACTGCGGCCAAGAACAAGTAAAAAATTACGTGATGAGACCATCTCGATTTGCCATCGATTTCCGGGTTCGGGTGCGTTTCATACAAGAAGATCGATACGAACTACACGGCCGAGTGCAGTAGACATACTCTTGATGGCAATAGGAAGTTCGAAGGAAGTTAATACAGTTGATTTATAACAAACAAACAAACAAACAAAGTAAATGGAAATCACTTTTCAGTCCATTTATTGCGCAACTGTGAACTCACGACATCATTCTGTTAACATCCACACATTTTCATAAAATCTCCATGCACTTTTTGACATTCATAAGTAAAATACACTACAATTTACTCCAGAAAAACAATTTTCTTGGTACATTCCTACATTCTTGCATACTAATATTACTAATGAGGGATTCAGACACATTCCAAGCTGAACAATTTTCTTGGACTAATAACAAAGCTGGTCAATCCTTTCCCAGCAACAAGAAGAAGATGGCTTCCAGTTGGCCATCCAAACACGAAAAAAATTGTCATTGAATCCTAACATGTCTTCATTATCATGGAACAAGAATCAGTAAAGTGGCATTGTGGCTGTAATATTCATGTTAGTCATTTAGAGAACATTGCACTTGAGTTACAGTTGCTTTCAGTTGCAATTATGAAAGTATTTGGACTTGCGGTTTCGGACTAGTTGTCGAAAATAACACTATTTACCAAAAATGACAAAAATATTCACTAAAAATCTGACAGAAGGCCACCCCAAGTACCATTGCTAGAAATATGAAAGCTATTGAACTTACAGTTTAGGACTAGTTGTCGAAAATACAATTTTTTAACAAAAATGACAAAAATATTCACTAAAAATCCAAATTTGCATATTTTGACACAAATTTAACAAATTAACGACCACCCCAATACCTTAGGTACAAATATGAATGTAATTGGTCAAGTACTTTTGACGCAGGACAGACGACGCTGGAGGACCCCCCATACCAACAGCTCTACTGGGTCATCTGCGATGACAGCGGAGCTAAAAAATGACATAGGATGTCAAAGATACAATATTTTCAAACAACAAAATGGTCTCACAAAAATGTAAGAAAATTCAAAAGACAATTTATAAATGTAGAATGAAAATTCATATTAAAGGGAAAGTCAAGGCTAACAACATACTACTCCCAGATAAAAGAGCTGGCAAATGTAAGAACATGCAATTTACAGTTTTTTTATATCACTTTTCATTCTCTAGATATTCAACTTTTCATTCAATTCATGTAGTCCGTTGTTTTAATACATTTAATACTAGATCATTTTACAGAAAATCCATGAACAGACATTTGAGGTCAAGACAACAAAATACTTCACATGGATGGGTAATTGTCTCATACTTTCTGACCCATATAATTATTTCCTTGTGAGAACACTTGTAATGAGTAATTAAAATGTCATGTGACCTACCCTCATTACCATAACAATGCCCTCTGGTTTGACATCATTTCCAAGATGTGAGGCACAGGCTGCGACAACAGTCCCAGAGTAACTCTACAGACAAAACAAATGTACACATATAAAAATCACTGTCATCGACAGGGAGTTTACAGCATGATAAAATAACATGTTTCATAACAAATATTGATCACACAATTCACATAATTAAAATTTGTACAATACCTGTAGAAAGACTTTGGTACCAAGCAACACATATGCTGTAATAATGTTAAAGCATGGTTTTAAAGTTTCAGATCCAAGCTCTGAAAAAAACAAAAAGTGTACCGTAAAATCTGTATTAGAAGCCACATCCCTAATAGAAGTCGCACTCAATCTTTTTGTACAATTGAGACCCACAAATTCATCATTTCTCATATGTGTAGATGCTCTAATAGAAGCCGCATCCCTTCTGTTGTATTGTACCATTTTAATAGAAGCCACGGCTTCAAATACAGATTTTACAGTACCACATATATCAATCTTACTAAGCCAGGTTATATGTATATCTGTCAAAATGCTTAGTAATGACTGGAGCTTTCTGTGTACTGCGGGATTTGAAGGCCAATCAAATTATGGCACTTATAAAAGTGTGTATGGACTACCAAAGTTCAAAATGCATATAGAAGTATGTAAAAATGTAGACAAACACATTATGCATTTTTTCTGATAATTCAATGAGGGGTAAAAAAAAAAAAGTCTACTGTTGTGAAAAGTGATCAGATAGAAAGTTGTCTCAGTCAATATACCATATTTGCTCTATTGCAAGTGCATCTACATATAAACCAAAAATTGCATTTAATGTATACTGGATCATTATGACACTTTAATAGTTTCACCTTAGAAACACCTCTGTTATTTGCATATGTACACATGCTACTAATCAAATATTCATAGTACATAACTTACCCAATAAATCTGGCATATTTGTAAATAACTCTAGTAATTCAGGTGTAATGGAAGAAGCATGGTGCAATGATTCCAACCTGTATGACAATATATATATATATATATTAATAATTATTTCTAAAGTTAGTGCTGTATCTGATACTGGGGACCAGTGCTGTATTCAATACAGGGGATCAGTGCTGTATCTAATACTGGGGACCAGTGCTGTATTCAATACAGGGAACCAGAGCTGTATTTAATACTGGGGACCAGTGCTTATTTAATACAGGGGACCAGTGCTGTATTTAATACAGGGTACCAGTGCTGTATCTGATACTGGGGACCAGTGCTGTATTTAATACAGGGGACCAGAGCTGTATTTAATACAGGGTACTAGTGCTGTATTCAATACAGGGTACCAGTGCTGTATTCAATACAGGGTACCAGTGCTGTATTTAATACAGGGTACCAGTGCTGTATTTAATACAGGGTACCAGTGCTGTAACTGATACTGTGGACCAGTGCTTTATTTGATACAGGGTACCAGTGCTGTATCTGATACTGTAGACCAGTGCTGTATCTGATACTGTAGACCA